AATACGCGTCCAGATATTAAAAGTAATTTTTGACCGTCAATGAAGTTGGTTAATACAATGTATAAGATTGGTTAATAAAGTTATGAAGTTGGTTTATGTCAATATCATTTAATTTAAAAATAAAAAATTAAATTAAAATAATAATTTTTTATTTTTTATTTAAAAGAAATATTTGGACGCTGTGCTATTCAAACACATTTTGGTCCACAGAAAATATTTTTTATTTTATGTCACAATGGTCCACAAAAAATGACAAACTTGTTATATTTGTATTGCACCCTGACCCACAACAGAAATGCAATGCTGCTAATTTTTGTGTTGTTATTTTTTTAATATATTTGACATACACTATTCATAGGTGTAGGTGTACAAACCAGTGTAAGAATAGCAAAATTCTATTTTTAAGCTTTGCTATTCCTACACCATTTTGTACACCAAATACTTACACCAAATACTGTTTATCGTATTTATACGGTGATCAGTGTTTATATTTTTTTAATAAATAAAAAATAATATTTATAATACGTGAACAGTGCGTGAACAATACAATTAAAATAGTGAAATGAAGTTGGTAAATGCAGTGTAAAAAGTTGGTTAATAAAGTTATGAAGTTGATTAATACGCGTCCAGATATTAAAAGTAATTTTTGACCGTCAATGAAGTTGGTTAATACAATGTATAAGATTGGTTAATAAAGTTATGAAGTTGGTTTATGTCAATATCATTTAATTTAAAAATAAAAAATTAAATTAAAATAATAATTTTTTATTTTTTATTTAAAAGAAATATTTGGACGCTGTGCTATTCAAACACATTTTGGTCCACAGAAAATATTTTTTATTTTATGTCACAATGGTCCACAAAAAATGACAAACTTGTTATATTTGTATTGCACCCTGACCCACAACAGAAATGCAATGCTTCTAGTTTTTGTGTTGTTATTTTTTTAATATATTTGACATACACTATTCATAGGTGTAGGTGTACAAACCAGTGTAAGAATAGCAAAATTCATAACTTTATAGAGGTAAAAATGCCTATCCTAGCACTGTTCATCGTCCTCAACCATGCTCTCCACTGAGCATTTTTCACCCTACCATTTTCATGGAATCTTTCAAAATTCAATGGGTATGATTTGCCTTAACCCCAAATTCAAACCTTGAACCCCTAAAATCAAACAAATAGCCCAAAACGTTTGTTTGAAGCTTTAAATGGTGTTTGCGACATACCATCATCCAAGCTACCTCAGCCAATCTTGAAGGGAAACCGTTTTTCAATCACCACCCTTGAAGATGAATATCAAGCATGATTAGATGTGTGTAAGCACAACCTTCACGGAAGAATCTTGTAGTCGAAAGGCAGGAAACCACTTTTGGTGCTTAACCTCTGTGCCAAGCAAGGACTTAGGGAAATGGGAAGTTATCTCCTTGGGAAAAGGATTTTTTGAGTTTACCTTCTCATCTCTTGAAGATATCATATGTGGATAATTATTAGGCCACTATGACTGAGCTAGAGGCAACAGATGATGGGTCTGAAGAGATTGAAGACTTGAAGTCTATGTTTTTCAAGCTCCAATTAGAACTCTCCAAGTCCCAAAAGAAGAAAATGAAGCAAAAGATATGTCTATGAGTGGTTCTAAAATATCTTCCACATGAAGTGCCTATTTAGGAATGCAAAGGGCTTACCCAATGCTTCTACAAGATTGCCCTTATTGGCACTAGCACTAACTTAACCTTTAAGGTTTCTCGAAAGGACTTTTCCATCATTAAAACTTTAAATATCCCAATTCACCCCTATAGCTTCTTCTATCAAGGAATTCATTTGGTGTCCTTCCTCTGGGTTGGATAAAATATAATGTTGATGGAGCGTTCACTTCTAATCCAAATTCGGCAGGTAGTGGTGACATTTTCAGAAATAGGGAGGGTTTGTTTTTCCTGGATTTTGCATAACCTCTTCAATGGGAAAATTCTATGTTATGTGAATTTTGTATTGTGCTTAGATATATTGAATTGGCAAAGGAGATGAGTTGGTCTAAACTTTGGGTTGAATCTAACTCCTCAGTGTGGTTAAAGCTTTTTCATTGAACAACCATGACATGGTGCCTTGGCAAATTAGAAATAAGTTGCTTGAGTGTGCTAACATTATTTTGGACATGTATTTCATTATTTCACATATTTCTAAAGAAAGAAATAGATGTACGAATATTTTTTCTAACTACATCTGCCTCATTCACTCTTTTACCTCCTTACCCTTAGATATTAAAATGAGCTATATATATATATATATATATCCACACACACACACACACACACACACACACACACACACACACACACACACACACACACACACACACACACACACACACACACACACACACACACACACACACACACACACACACACACACACACACACACACACACACACACACACACACACACACACACACACACACACACACACACACACACACACACACACACACACACACACACACACACACACACACACACACACACACACACACACACACACACACACACACACACACACACACACACACACACACACACACACACACACACACACACACACACACACACACACACACACACACACACACACACACACACACACACACACACACACACACACACACACACACACACACACACACACACACACACACACACACACACACACACACACACACACACACACACACACACACACACACACACACACACACACACACACACACACACACACACACACACACACACACACACACACACACACACACACACACACACACACACACACACACACACACACACACACACACACACACACACACACACACACACACACACACACACACACACACACACACACACACACACACACACACACACACACACACACACACACACACACACACACACACACACACACACACACACACACACACACACACACACACACACACACACACACACACACACACACACACACACACACACACACACACACACACACACACACACACACACACACACACACACACACACACACACACACACACACACACACACACACACACACACACACACACACACACACACACACACACACACACACACACACACACACACACACACACACACACACACACACACACACACACACACACACACACACACACACACACACACACACACACACACACACACACACACACACACACACACACACACACACACACACACACACACACACACACACACACACACACACACACACACACACACACACACACACACACACACACACACACACACACACACACACACACACACACACACACACACACACACACACACACACACACACACACACACACACACACACACACACACACACACACACACACACACACACACACACACACACACACACACACACACACACACACACACACACACACACACACACACACACACACACACACACACACACACACACACACACACACACACACACACACACACACACACACACACACACACACACACACACACACACACACACACACACACACACACACACACACACACACACACACACACACACACACACACACACACACACACACACACACACAATCCAACCGGATCAGAAATGCATAAGCATCTAATCACACGTCGTGAAGAGGATGGGTGTATATCTGCAAGATACTCCGATGCTAAAGTGAAAAACGGAGTAAGAGAGAGCGAGTACAGAAAGGTGTAGAATTCAGAATACCTGACCCTCTAGTAAAAGAGAGTATTTATGGTGTGCCTCCAACGCTGGGCCAACAGTTACTTTGCATTGGACTGGATTGCTAAGTCCAACACAAGTAACTACCAGAGTCTACGTGGCGTAGAGAAGATCAACACTTGGTCTTCACTCTGATCCAATTGCCCCGTGATCTTCGGAAGGTGGAAGACCGGTTCTTTAGAACATTAATAGTTGCCTGATGACGTGTCCCCGCGTGGGAAACACGTGAAAAACATGTGAGAGACGTGTGATCCCTCTTCGTGCTAGGTAGTGGTCTTTCGAACTACAGAGTGTACCGAGGGTGTACTCGATGGGATGGAGAATTTGGTCTTGCTAGACCTCCCTAATATAATATTAGATTGGACCTGCCCGACTGTGGGGCAGCTACTGACCCGGTCCAAAACAAAATATATATATATATATATATATATATATATATATATATATATATATATATATATATATATATATATATATATATATATATATATATATATATATATATATATATATATATATATATATATATATATATATATATATATATATATTCCCTCTTTTCCAATAAAACTAACACATTCATTAATATACTGAGTGAATACTTCGTTAACCTCTTTTCCAAAGATCCTAATTCGATATCACATCATTTTTTATTTTATTTTAAAATATATTAAAATTTAAAAGAATTTGTACTAAGAATACCGGTGCCTAATTTAAACTCATTGGTATTAAAAAATTTACCTAATAGGAGCGCATCATTTTCAACGAATTTCAAGCCCTAAATATGACCCTACTCGTCAATGATATTAAACATCAACAGCTTGATAAGGCATATTCAAATGAATGAATACCACGCTTGATTGCGTGAAATCAGTTATTCTCAAGATCAATTTCAATTTTTTTTTACTTCTACTACAAATGGCTTCTACTATATATGATCAAGTAAAATTTCCATGGAAATTAAGTAGTTGAGAAGAAGATACAATGAAACTCAGGATATAGATCCCACCAATCCCAAAATCCATTTTCATACAAATGGCTTTACAAAAGGAACATAACATTGGGTCATAGAGAAGCACAAATAATCTGTTAATAGCTCCAGTTCTTCCATCAGCTACAGAATGTACCACTTTCTGAATTTCAAGCCATTAGAGTACAAACAAACAACACTATTGTTGTTATTGTCTTGTCAATATGGCTACTGATTCCCACTCTAAACTGCAAATCACATCCTGCATGTAAAGAGTGAAACAATAGTTTTCATCATAAAGGAGTTTCTACCTTCATCTTTTTACCACTCTTCACTCCTTATCGTTTTCATTTTTGTTTATCATTCGTTATTGATAGTAATTCATAGAAAGATAAACCATTTGGTAAATTTTTTGTTGAAAACTAAAAGAAAACACCATCGAATTAGTCTTAAACGGTATAAAACAATACTAACTGCCCCCACTTACCAATGGATTATGTCGATCAATATCAAAGCTATTGATGGCGCAAGGTTCTTCCAGCAGTTCAATGGGTTCCTCGCCTAAGCAATTTAAGAACACCGTCGGATTAACCAAATATTATTCCAGAACGAATTGTCATTTTCATCATGTTGCAAATGCAATGAACATATATTATACCTTGCTCAATCACGCCAAGAATTCCATCCTCTGAACATATCATGGCAGGTAAAATCCGGGTTGATGAAGTGTTTGATTTTATGCAACGATCATATTGAATCTCCCAAATCTCACTTTCAGATATTGACTGGACTGCAGTGTTGCCAGCCCCATCCCCTGCTCCTGAGAGTATAATTGGTTGTTGTTGCCACCTAAGATCCCAAGCCAAAACAGTACCTAAGGAACCGCCAGCCTGAGAGGAAACATCATAATTTCAGAATCAGCAAAAACTGTGAAAGCACTAAACAAAGAATCACTCAACTCTTTAAATCATTAATCTAACAAATTCTTATCAAAGAAATGAAGAATCATTCAAATTCAATCGGTACTTATGGCAAAACAGTTTTTATTGCAGAAATGCAAAACAACTATAATAACTACTAACTTTCATGAATCAAACCTCAAACTGTCCTTAATTTTTGTTGTATGAAAATAAAGAACATTAGCATATATCTCATAAATGAGCTTGTTTACTTGTCCAAGCACAACATCATTAATATTTTCAAGATACTGATCCCTTAGAGGATTTTCTGATTTGGTAGATACTTAACAAGTACTTCAATAAACGGAAAGAAGCAACTACAAGTAAATCAGAGATGCAGACACTATGGCAAAGTTGTATTTAAGGCCAGTAAGGGGTGTGAAACTATATTTCAAACAATTAATCGGATAAATTTCTTTAAAAACTCATGAGCTGCATAAATTGCAGATCAGCTTCTGCATCTCAACTTTTATCCATAACTCGACCCTTTAGCTTCTCTACTAACATATCTAACATCATAAAACTTTTTTTGTAGCAACTTAGTTTAATTAAGAAACTCCATGACTTAATCTAAATTTGGCCATAATCCAAAATCAACGCTGCTCCAATCTCGGAAAGAGAAAAAGTAAATAAAACAAGAAATGAAGAGTCAGGTATAGCAACGATACCAGGCAAGTATGCTTTCTTGATGGATGAATGTCGATAGAGTGCACTATGCCAGAAGTCAATTTTGTATCCCTGCAACAAAACCAACAACACAGTAAGTAATAACCCTAATATCTTCAATTGTTAATCAGGCATAAGGCGCTTGATTGTCATATGAATCCTTATAACATATGTAAGTGTTTATGTATAAAATATTTCTATAACTAAAATAAAATAAATTCAAGTTGTTTTCATGTAATCTATAAGTTGGTTTAATAAGTTATCCTAAAGAAACAAATTGAAAAAGATTACAACAACAACTAAGTCTTATCCCACTAAGTGGAGTCAGCTACATGGATCAACTTCTGCCATCAACAACTAAGTCTTATCCCACTAAGTGGAGTCAGCTACATGGATCAACTTCTGCCATAATGTCCTATATAGGACCATGGGACCGTGCTACTCTCCAAATCGTCAATTGCTAGATCTTCCTCTACCTCTACCTCTTTGACTCCTCTCCATCTGACCTATTCTCCTTACCATATAGTTTACAGGTCTTCTCACTATCTAATATTGTCATTTCAAATCTTATCATGTCTACTTCTCACTATCTAATATTGTCATTTCAAATCTTATCATGTCTACTCTTGCCACTCATTCATCTCAACAATGCAAGTCAAATCAAATTGTTTTCATAAAACAAACTATAAAATCAAATCAAATTGCTTTCGTATAATCTATAAACTGGTTTCATAAGTTATTCTAAAGAAACAAAATTTAAAGGATTATCTCAAATAATTCAATCCAAGTCTCAACATTCTTACCCGTTACCCTTAAACTGAGAAACCGGCCCACCCGGTTTCCTCTGATCCCACCACTGAAGCCCAAATCCATATCCTCCTGTAGCAAACTCCACGGAAGAAGCCCATTTCACCGCCGAGTAAGGCACCAACCCCTCACTATCAAACAATCTCCGATAACTCAAATTAGAGTCACCAACAGTAACCAAATTAACCTTCCCATCATCCCCAACAGTAACACACTCAACTCCACCATCCATCAAATCAATGCAAGACTTAGCCACCGAGTGAAGCTCGTTCTCCGGTACAGAAACCTCAGATTCGATAATCCCATCGGTGGAATCAGCGAACAGGAAGTGAAGTGAGCCGGAGGAAGTTGAAGCGGCGATAATTGATCTCTGAAGGAACTGTGAGGCTTTGAGGGAGGAGATTGGGGAAGGAGAGGTCCATGAAGATTGGAAATCGAAGGAAATAGGGTTCGGTTTGAAGGAGTGGATTTCGATGGAAGAGACGTCGGAATCGAAGTCGGAGGAAGCGAGAACGGCGAAGCGGTTGAATGCGGAGAGAACTGGAAGCCAACGAACGGCGTCGATGTATTTGTATTGAGGGAATCTGTGGATTTGAGAGGTTTCTGAATTTGCTGTGACTGCCATGGCAAGGGTTTATGCGAACATAAACCTGCAATTCGCGGAAAGGAGAAGTAGCCTAACGAGTAACAGAAACATTTTTTTGTGGCTAAAATACCCCTGGGTGTTCCATTTTTTTACCTATGATTTTGGTCGCATTCTTGTTTATAAATTGTAATAAAAATTAAAAATTAAAAACCAATTAAAGATAATAATAAATTTAAATTGATATAATTATCCGAAAGAGCATAACAATATCAATATTTAGACCACTTTATATAATTTTTAGATATGAAAAAATAAAATTTATTAAAATTTTATTAATTCACAATTATTATCAAAATTTATTATAATTTTCATAATTAGTTAACAAAACTTCAACAAAATAATTAGCTAATAAAAATAAAATTATTCATTATTTTGGAAAATAAAATTGTAACTAATAATTTATGGCATTTACAACAATTTTAATTGAGAAAAACACATCAAAAAGGTAAATATGAAATTGTAAAGTATGTGTTATATGTGGAGATACATTCACTTGAAAACACATCATTTCCTGCCTTTCTCTTCTGCCATCTCTCTCATGTTTTATCTAGTGACTGAAAATTAATGAAAAAAAAGAAATTTAACTAAAAGGATGTTGCTTTGAAAAGTGAGAAAAAGAAAGATGAATGACTAAGATTGATGACTGAATGGAAGCAGCAGAGAAAACGCTGCAGAGGATCCAAATCCCATGCACCTACAAATTTTAATGTTACAACTATCTAATTTATGACTAACTCATTCTCACACGCTTTTTTATTAAGTATTTTCCAAATTCAACTTATATAACATGTGGGCTCGTTTTGCCAAATGCTACACCTATTTTAGTGTTCTTTTTTAACTTAATAATAAACACAAGTATCATTTTTACTAACTTTTTAATGGTATGAGACACTCTAATTCTATTATTTTTTAGTGTAAAATGGGGTATTAAAGAAATAGGTTGAATTATTGACAGATAGTATCATGAAATAGAAAGAGCAACAAAATGAATAAGTCATATATAAATTACAAGTAAGTCAATCCATTTCTAGAACCAAAGACTCATGATATCATTTGTTAGGTCATGAGAAAGAACATCAATATTTGGTCAAGAGCAACATAAGTGAGAGAGACACCACATATTCACCCAAAATTTTAAGGTGATATGTGTGGATTCTCCCACTTATAAATGTTCAACTCTCTACATTTATAATCAATATGGGACTCCAACTCACACTTGTTTTCTCTATACATGTGCATCAAAAGTAGCATGCCTTTATCACTACAATTTTAAGCCAGATACGAAATTTGAGGACGAAGAAAGTAAGAGAAAATCAAGTAAAAAAATGTATCACCAGACATTTGTGAAACCAAGAGGAAATCAAACTCATCATGATAAAAGAATATCTACAAAATTTCAGTAGTTTTTTAGCAGTAATATCTATATAGAAGTATATTCTACTATAATTCCTCAAAACTACAAATTGTACGAAATAAAAGAAATTGAATTGGACCAAACTTTAAAAAGATCAAACATAATAATATCCTATACTTATAGGTATATAATAAAGTATGAGGATTGCTTTATAACCCAAGACAGCCAAATAGCGAAATAGTTTAAACACCATTACAAATCCAAAATATTACAACATTTAAAAGAAACTTTAAAAAGTCATAATAAAGATCGAAACAACTAATTGTTAAACCCAACAAAAAAACTTATATTAGCAACAATCAACTCCTCCTCAAAGCAACATATAAGTATTTAGAAAATTTGCGGATCCTGAATGCCAAAATATCCTTGTTATAAAGCTTATTTGTTTTGGCGTATTCATACCAACTTCGCCTAATGAACTTCTCTGCATGGTTCCTTTTTCCCGTATGAATGAAGAAGTCGTAAATTTTTTTAGATTCAAAATCAATCAATTTGGTATCCTTTAACATGGGCCTCATACAATATTTGATAATGTTTCTGTGGAAGTGCTGGAAACATTTAAAGATAATATTGAGCTATTAGCAATGTGCTTGGAAAAAATGATTAATCAAGTAGGATAAGAATTAAAAAAGTCTTACAAAAACATTTTTTGATTGTTTTTTTTGGAATTAGTTATCCTTCTCTCCTAAACATATTGAATGTTGCATACAATCATACCAGAAACAACTGCATTCTTTGTTGTAACAGGGTTGACCTTCAAGTTTTTGCCATTTCCCTTATGCGCACCTTCATTAGTCTTCAACCTTTCACCATTTTATGCTTCAACAAAAGTTTTAATAATTGTTCCCCTGTCAGATTGTTTGTAGCATGAAGTGTCATTACAAGATCTATATTAATGGTCAGGTTCATGAACAACCTTCATATCATTCAGGTTATTAATCTGATAAAGATGTTTGTGAAGAAGTTTTTTTTTTTGCATGATTTTCGCAAAACTTGTCAACATCTGATATGGTTTGCATCACAAAGTCCAATTCTTCATCAGATGAACTTGAAACAGTAATATAACAATGAAAAATATCAATAAGTTCAAACATTTTAGTTTTTAAAATTTTACAAATTCAAAAATTCATTTTATGCATGCAATTTCATCAAAACCCAGAATAGTAATAACAATATAAATTGTAAAAATTGTGTTCGTTTATTAGGTTTTTTGCTAAGCATTTCATAGTTGGTTACAAACATTAATATGTTATACTCACAAAACCATCGAAAAACTTGAAATCGCATCTCTATTTATGGTAACCGTGATATACATGACTTCATTTCCAGAAGAAAACAACATCACAAAACGAAGAATATGAAAATTAAAAATGGTAAAAAATATTAATGCTTGTTGTACCCCATGCTTGATGGTGATGAAATCTCAATGATTGGTGGCTTCGTCGTTGTTGATCTTTTTGTCTTCCCACAAGAATGATGAAATACTGAAAACCCTAACTCAAATGGGAACTTTTAAGCTTTACTATGTTTTATCAGTAAAGAAAACCGTGCGTATTGATGTATTATTGGATGAGAATGCAAACGTAAAATCATAAATGCAAAAAGATCTTAAATTAAGTGCATTTAATAATATTTGGTATCCGAATGGTAATAGGAAACAATGTATTGGTTACTGTAAGAGCGTGTGATATAGTTGTCACTTGAAAAATGTTTTTGTCATAATAAAATAAGATAATTTAATTATGGATGACATATGGCCTCAAATATTAATTTTTACCATTTTTAAATAGGTGGGCCAATGTGATCTTTGGTTTATTTATTGTGGCCCACTTAAAGCAATCGTGAAACACATATAAGTCTAATTTGTGGTCCTCACTTAGGATTTCCAAACACTGCATTGTACTTGAACCTTAGCATGAAAGGCCACCGCAAGCCCTGTTACGGTTGAATATCTTCTTCAAGTAGCCGGTACGATTTCAGTTACTCATATTTTTTTATTCAAATTGCTTTCTTTAACAATATATGTTGTTTTCTTATTTTGATAATGATTTTCGTTGTCATCTTGACTAACCGATATATATATATATATATATATATATATATATATATGTGTGTGTGTGTGTGTGTGTGTGTGTGTGTGTGTGTGTGTGTGTGTGTGTGTGTGTGTGTGTGTGTGTGTGTGTGTGTGTGTGTGTGTGTGTGTGTGTGTGTGTGTGTGTGTGTGTGTGTGTGTGTGTGTGTGTGTGTGTGTGTGTGTGTGTGTGTGTGTGTGTGTGTGTGTGTGTGTGTGTGTGTGTGTGTGTGTGTGTGTGTGTGTGTGTGTGTGTGTGTGTAGGAAATAATTAAGATTTGTATACAAATGATCTAAGTAGTTAGATATGTCTGTTTGAAAAGAGTACATGCAAAGACAAATTCTTAGTAAGTGTAGTAACATAGTTCCCCTTTTGTGTTATATGTTGTTTGAAGAAGACGTATGTGGGTTTAAAATTTAAATACATTATGTATACATGTTTTTATAGTTCATCGGATGATGAAAGCTCAGATGGCCATGATACCTTACATGTTGAAGATAGAAAAGGAAAAACAACTTCAAATCATAGAAGAGTTGGTGGGGAAATAGTTGAAGTGAAGGAAACTGAGAAGTCAGGGAAGGAAAAGCGTAACGCTAGTGGTGCTTACAACAAAATCAATTAAAATGGGAAGATGTACAAGAATCTTTTCCATTGGGAGGTAAGATCAACATTCTGAAAGCCAAAGGAAAAAATATGTTGGTACTACATTTGTGACCAAGTCTAAGTTGTTGTCTTTATTTAGATTTGTGTTTTTGTTAGTTAAAAACATAATACATGGTTTGTATTTTTGTGTTGCAACACTTCCCCAAGGAAACTTCTAGGAGCGTTCTTAGGCCAAATCAGAAAGACATTCAAATGTATGATGTTCAATGTAACAGCCCGAATTTCATTAAATAATTAATTATAGTAATTAATTGATTTAGTGGGATTTTTATTAATGTTGGAAATTAATTTTTATTAATTGGAATTAATAGAGAATTGAGAAGGAAATTGGAAGGAAGGAAAATAAAAGAAATATATAATAGAGAAGGAAAAGAAAAGAAAGTTAGAGAGAAACATTTGGAAAGAAAGAAGAAGAGAAAGAGAGGAGAAGAAGAGGAAAGTGGAAAATCATCAAGAACCAACATCAAAGCTTCGATTAATCGAGGTAAGGGTGAGAAATGTTTCTATTTGATCATTGCATGATGTTATATATGTTGGGTTAGGGTTTTGGTGTAGTTTCCATCCTTTTCCATTTAGGGCAAAAGTTGGAATAAACGGTAGAACTGTGATTTAATCGGTTGGAATTGAGTAATAATGTCGTAGAATAGTTGGGTAACATGTAGTGATGTTGTTTGAGCTGGTTTTGATGTTTGGGAGTTGGTTGGTGGTGGTTTGAGAAGGAGAAGACAGAACAAAATTCTGTTATGCGCAGGTTCGCTGGCTCTCGCCAGGCGAGCGAAGGCGAAGCTTCGCCGGGCGAAGCCTAACGAACGCTGGCGAATAATTATGAT